TAGGTCCTAGGTGAGAGACCAGACCACGTACGGTTCAGGGACCCCTTATGATGAACACAAATAATGGATTTAGTGTTCCCTTGCTCCGACATGGGTCAGTAGGAACCCCCTCTGCAGCCAGGCCTGGAGGTGGGGCTTGCTGGTGACCGGGCCTGCACCAAGGGGACCCAGCCAGGCATAGCCCACAAAGTCAACTTGGGTCCCTGTTCCCATGGGCTCACCACCTCTGGGAGGGGCTAAAGGGGTCTGGTGGTTCGGGAATTCTGGGCAACCTCCAAAGGCGGGGACCTTGCGGTCGGATCACTGGCCACAGAAGCTCGCTCTCGGGACATAGAATGTCACCTCAGAGGAAAAGAGCTCGAGCTGGTGTGCGAGGCAGAGAAGTTCCGACTAGATTTAGTCAGACTAGCCTCCACGCACAGCTTGGGGCCTGGTATCAGTCCTCCTGAGAAAGGTTGGATTCTCTTTCACTCTTCAGTTGCCCATGGTGAGAGACCCAAAGTAGCTGTGGCATACTATTGGCCCCCAGCTTTGTGCCTGTACATTGGGGTTCACACCAGTGGATGCGAGGATAGCCTCCTTCGTATGAATATGAGGCTTTGGTGACAATGGCTAGCACAGGGGTGGGTAAACTACGGGCCATGGGCCAGATGCGGCCCGTTGGTCCTTTTAATCCGGCCCGCCGCATGTTGGTACACAATTAAGGTTCGATGTAAATGATTGCATTCATTTCATTTGGACTTGTAATGACAGGCATTTCAACCCCAGGTGGCACAGTGACTTGAGGTTGTGGAGCACAGGGAGGGAGGGGTCGGGGGAGAGATCTTCTCTACCACCTATGGACCTCTGTCAAACAGAAATTGCCGAACCCGGTAAAAACACTTATGCAATAAAATTTCTACTACTTTATTACATTAATAATCGATTCACAACAATGGAAGTTCCGGAACCCGGAAGCCATACGAAGCCAACTCAAGCAACTCCCGCTCGATACGACGGAATAACTGTGTCTGTGCCGCTATTTTCTATCTATCTAACGGCAACATTTAAGTGACTCTTTATTGCAATGAGTTTTACTGGAATTGTGAAAGTTTTTCATTTTATTCATTTACGTTTACGTCCTGTAGATCATGGCATCCAAATGAAGAGGAACTGTAATGACCACGGAAGAGAAAGTGATGAATCTGATTAAACGAAGTGGGTTACAAAGTACGAAACATTCAGGAGACACTTGGAGTCGGAAAGGCTCAAATCTAGAAACTTTGAAAAACAAGGAAGCGATTCTTTCTCAGTTTGATTCTGGCAATGTCCCTGCTCAGAGTGAATTGCTTGCTGCTCGACGGACAGTCAAGTCAATGAACGTTTCCTAGAATGGTTTGACTGTCATCGTGGCAAAAAAAAAAAAACCAAAACCCACAAACTGGACCGCTGATAAGAGAGAAGGCGAGCTCCATAGCGACACTGTCTTGGGTGGTGATCGAGGGTTGGTCAACTTACAGACAGTGAGTGAGTGGAAAGAAAAGCTACCAAGGTCTGTTACTAGTCTCATTTTGAAGCAAATAGTCCTACTTTTTTATACTCTATTTTGTTCATATACCTGTACTGTATACTGCAGTTTTTGTGTTATAAACAGTTTTTGGGCAATATAAAGGTGCGCTTTGTTGCTTGTGTTATATTATATTTGGACGTTCATACATGACATTTGACGGAGTTGTTTCCCACAAAAGGAAATTTTGTGATAAGGAAAGATTGGACACCGCAAATATGATTCCTGAACTAGAAAATACTACATCACTCTTCTTCTACTGTTCAGATCACAACCCATCTGCAGCAATGCACTGGCTAAAATTCGCAATTTACAGCACCACAATTTGGAGAGATACTGTATAATACTTTCATGCTTTTGTTCTGTTGATGTTTGATATGGACTGTCAACAAATGCAGTTTTTTTATCTGTCCCGTATCTTGTGCTGAGCCGATCCATCTGTCAAATTTTAAAAGCCAATGTGGGCCCCGAGCCAAAAAGTTTGCCCACCCCTGGGCTAGCAGAATCCCCTGTCAGAAGGATTTCAACTCCCACCTCTAGGAGAGCTTCTCCCAAATCCTGGGGGAGGTGCCAGACATTTTGTCCAAGTGGACCATGTTATGTACCTATATTTCTGAGGCAGCCAAACTGAGCTATTGCTGACCGGTGCCTGTCGTGGCGACAACACCAGAAACTGTTGATGGACACCAGTGGTAAGGAACTCCGTCAAGCTGAAGTCGCAGTCCTATCGGGCCTTTTTGGTCTATGGGACCCCAGAGGCAGCTGTTGATGTGGGACATTGTGACTCGGCGGTACACATACTTGGAATTTCTCCTCAATTCCACGTATATTCCTTCCCATCAGGAATCGGTCTGTGGCCTCCAAGGGAGGTTGAGGTCACTGAGATGGTTAAAAAGCACCTCAGTGGCAAGGCCCCGAGGCTGTATTAGATTCACCCAGAGTTCTGAAAAGGGATTTCAGCCATTTGCCAATACTTTGCACACAAGTTCTTTTATTTCCCTAAATGTGGAATAAAAATCCAACACTATGAAATCTTTTCTTCTCAGTATTCCATCATGTCTTTTCTTCTCTTTATTCCAACATCACAACTCAGAATGAATCGATTCGGGCCTCTGTATTTTAATACGTCAATCAGAGTGCGCTTGAACAAATACAGGCATAAGAATATATAGAGGCAATATGCAAATGAGAGGCGGACAGTCAATGAGAATAATGAGAATAATAATAATAATAATAATAATAATAATAATAACAATACAAGTTATTGCGCATCAACTCTGATCACAAGCTGCAATTGCAGACTGCTGACTGCTAACAACTTCCGGTGATGCAGGTCACGCGGCACCATCGGTTAAAGGTGACCTGCTTTTTAAAAAAAAAGTTTTAATTTTATACTTTTTTGTGAAAGTGAGACTGATAGGATGCTAAGGGTGCAGTGTGCACTAACACAAAAATATATCATATTAACAACACGCACCTAGACCCACAAATGTTTTGTGTTTTTTTTTTGTTTTTTTTTTTAATTCCCTCTACACCCCTTTTAATCGACTTGGAACCAGTCCGCAGGCTCCCAGTTGATCGCGATCGACGTATTGGTCCTCCTTCACTTCGTAGTCTCAGGCTTAGACTATGAAGTGAAGATTTAAGAAAATCTACAAGTGAATAAGAATCCATCTTTCACATTTTTAATCTTAAATTACTTTGAGTTGGCTCTGTGTGTTGCCAGAGTCTGGATTTCATACGCTTTGGTCTGTACCACTGAAATGGAGCTTGCAGAAAAAACGCAGACTTGATTTTTGGTTCTCAAAATGCCCTCAATATGATTAAGTGGAACAGATTGGTTAACAAGGCACGGTAGGTATTTGGCGTCCTGATGAAAAGGGGAAACCTATTGATTTATAATCATATTTAAGAGAAGAATGATGAAGTAGGTGTATATTTTTTATGTCCATTTTTGGACACTTGATATTGAACATTTGGTGCTTTTTGGAAAAAAATAAATGCATGACTAACTAACTAGCTAAATAAATAAATACATCAAACGTGCAACCAAATCATTTGGGGATTGAGAAAATTTTATTTCCCCCCCATCTAAATTGGGCAGCATGACGCCACTGCCATCAACAGTCCTTATTTGTAGGTAGGAGCTCAACTGTGAACCTAAGAGGGTACATCACAAAGTGTACCTTGGAGAACAAAAAAAACTACCCCTAAAGTACCCTTTTTCCTGATAGTGTATGGTAAAAAACGTGGTTCAATATCAATTTTAACATCTTAAATGGATGAGTGTGTGTGTGCGCGCGTGTCTGTTTATGTGTGAACAGATTTGTCAGGGCATTGAGTGATTTGTGTATGTTGTCCACAGAGAGGTAGTGTAACTGGCAAGACATGTGTCCGACAATGTGGCTTGCTTTCAGCTTGCCTCTCACACACCACTGGCCCAGCTCCCCTGAGCCTTATGCATAATGCAACAGGCAAAAGACAACGCCCGCATGATAATGTGCATGCACAACCGCTTTGTGGATGTGTGTTGAGTACAGATAGAGCGAGACACCATTTGCTGGCATGGCTGCTTACAGTGACAGCATATATATTTTTTCAGATGAGCGAGAGAGTCTTAGCTCTTCAGAGAGAGAGAGAGAGAGAGAGAGAGAGAGAGAGAGAGAGAGAGTCAATGTTGTTCATGAACTTGTTCATCAATTGGGCGAACATGAACTGAGCAGTGTCCATGTATTTTTGCTTCGTGAACGTTTTAATGAACAATCTCATTCTGGGGCAAATGAATGATTTTTGAATGGCAGTTCATTTTTGTTCTAAAGTGCAATTTCTTCAAAAAAAAATGGCTAGGCACACTACAAATGAGCTTTAATTAGGCTAATTATTTGACAACCCCAGCCACGTTGTTCATGATCGTTTCAGGTCTCTACAGAGCTTGCTGATGAGCTGATAATTCGAATCAGTTGCGTTGATGTAGAAAGATCTAAAACAGGCAGGATATGGCTCTCGAGGAACCGGAGATTCCTCCCCCTGCTGTGAAGAATACCGCAAGGGGAGGAACTTCTCTTGTCAAAATAGCTTCATCTTGGGAAGTTGTGGCTGCCCGTCAGCTGGGTATTTAGATGTACGTTTCGTCAATTTGTTACAATTACTTTATGTGTACTGTGTTTTCTTTCATTTGTTGGCGGATTCTGTTTATTTCACCTTGCAAACCAATGTTCGAATGGGGACTCTGATTTACTACAGTCACAGACATTTCCGCCATGTCTCTTGGCGGAAATATGCTCAGAGCTCACCGCTGGTTACGTAATATCATGAATCTCAATCATTTAATCACCCATGCCTATATATAACACCCTTTGAAAGGTAATCGACGGGCTGGGTGGTGTTGTATGGGGGTAGTGTGTTTGACTGACGCCCAGCAAAAACAAAAAAATTTTGTATGTGCCCATGTAGACACCAAGTAGAGTATATTACCACATCTGACATTGAACTAAGAACTAAGTCGGTAGCTCTTGCTCCGTTATTATTTTTCAATTAGATAAATCTGATGGTCAGTTTTAGGCATGTTTAGCCTTGACTGAGGTCTACATGCCCTTTTTTGCTTATTAGTTCCTCGTAGTTTGGCCGCTGTACTCTTGTAGACATTGATATCGTCCACTGGATAAGATGCAACAAAGCTTTGATATTGTATGTTTCATCTATATCATCTCCACATTTGTCTTGGTTCTTGTTGCCCGCGGTAAGCACAGCACTCATCAATGTTCGTCCTTGACTCGGCTCAGCTACAGCCCCAAGAGATCAGCCCCCCTCCCACCGCCAATCTGGACCGCTCCAACGACAAGGTATACGAAAACGTGACCGGATTGGTGAAAGCTGTGATCGAGATGTCGAGCAAGATTCAGCCAGCTCCTCCCGAGGAGTACGTTCCCATGGTCAAGGTAACCAAAATACATTGTTGTTGTCAGAACTTGACTGAATTGCATATTCTCTCTAACAGACTGTGTGCTTGTTGGCATTTTGCACGTGATTTTATAAGATTAATATCATTTACTTAGGTGTAGTGGCTACTAAATTATATCTTCACTCACTGAATTGGAAGAGCATGGAACGCATGACCGCATTATAGGAAACAGCTTTTTTTGTGCAGGTAGCGGTAATTTGGGGGAAGAAAGCACCCACATATAGGCCATGATTTGTTTAATTCAACTTGCCCCCAGTGGTCGGCAATCAACATTGTACAAGATGTACAAGAATGTGCCCATCCTACGTAACATTATGGACAGTACAAAATTACTCTGTAAGAGACCAGTTGTCACAGTGAGCTGAAATGTCTCAGATACATGGAAATGCGGAGTTGAAAACAGTTTTGTTCTAAGTAATATAGCATGACTCCTTCTTGTGACTGGGTCTGAGTCAGCCCTGAGATCATTCAGAAGCTCCAGAATTGCATTGCTGAATAGCTATTATGTCACAATAATATTTGTTAATTGCATTTCAGAGTTCTTCTTTGCACCTCTCATTTTGGCCGCAGCTCACGTTTTTCCGTAAATCCATCTCACAGTGTCCTGTTAAATACACTAGTAAATAACAACATTTGTCAGTTCTTTGGACATTATTGACGTCATCCGGGTAGCAGGCTGTGTGGTTCACAGTGAAAAGATATTGTGGTTTCCTGTTTTCAGGATGTGGGCCTTGCATTGAGGACTTTGTTGGCCACAGTGGACGAGACCCTACCGCAACTTCCAGCCAGCACACACAGAGAGGTAATGACACACTCTTTCTCAGCAGATACATATACAAACAAAATATCTGCATACATACAGCACTTTATCATCATTATTATCAATGGGCAATAAATGTTGTTTTTTTTTTTCCCAGATCGAGATGGCGCAAAAGCTTTTGAACTCTGACTTGGCGGAACTGATTGGAAAAATGAAGTTAGCTCAGCAGTATGTGATGACGAGGTAACACCACACAGCACAATCAAGAGTATGTAATCCAAAATGACACAAAGGAGGGCCACGCTGAAAAGAAAAAAAAAAAGTTGTAAAATTCAGAGTAAGGCAAAATGAATGAACAAAAAAAAGGCCTTCAAAAGAAGAAATATTTAAACGATTGAATGTCAAAGGTCAACACACTGAAAGTAGTCACCAACTTCGGTCCTCGGGAGCCCCTATCCTACATGTTCTAGATATTTCCCTCATCCAACACACCAGATTCATATTGTTCATGATCGTTTCAGGTCTCTACAGAGCTTGCTGATGAGCTGATAATTCGAATCAGTTGCGTTGATGTAAGGAAACATCTAAAACATTCAGGAGAGAGGAGAACCGGATTTGAACAACTCTGTACTACATGATGGGCAAGTATCCCCGCCATCCACATTTTGGTCAATGAACTGTATGGACAATTGCACCCTAAACTTTGTTGCTGAGAAGCAGTGGTTCCAGCCATTGGAAAACTACACTGCGTTTAATACACCCTGCACATGATTTGACATTTGATTTAAACACACAATGCACTATTTCTTTCTTTCCAGTTGGCGCGCCCCCCAAAAAAAAAAAAAAAAAAAAAAAAAAAGATCTTGGTCTGTCTCGGTACCAGTCCGGTGGTTGGGGGCCCCTGAAATAGAGTGTTCAATCATCCTACCGTGCATGTTTTTGGAATGTGGGAGGAAACCAGAATACCCAGAGAAAACCATACATGGCAATTTTCCGCGGAATAATCCGCCGTTTTATTTCTTAATTGATCATTTTTGTAAATCGTCTAAATCCGTTGAGAAAATTTTAGGGGCGGTCAGGTACCTTATCGTCGAGTTTTCACGAGCTCTCCCGAACAGTCTCTCCGTTTTCCGTTTGTAAACAGCCCTGCGATTGGACGTGTATGAAAGCTTCAACTAATCAGATCACTGAAGGCATTATTTGTTGCGGAAGTCTTAGCTCGATTATAAACGGCCCAGCGATTGGTTAACTACAAGCGATTGGACC